GAGAGAGAGAGAGAGAGAGAGAGAGAGAGAGAGAGAGAGAGAGAGAGAGAGAGAGAGAGAGAGAGAGAGAGCAAGTCAAAGAGAGAGAGAGGGTTGCAGTTACCTGATCTTTGCGGTTTTGGGTTGCGGCTGTTGCCGCTGGATATCAGAACTCAATTCTTGTAGACTACAATAATAAATATTTCGAAGAGCGTTCATCTTGGTGTGAACCATACTTGCGGCGCATCCCATGCGCGCCACTCCCGCACATGCGGCGCACTGCACATTGCGCACGTGGCGCGCGCACCCGGTGCGCCGCATGGGCAAAATTCGGGGTCAACCAAAAAAAAAAAAATTGGGGAGAGGGTGAATCGAAGTTCCCACGCCCAGCTAAAATTCGGACATCGCCCGCACAATTTTTTTTCAGGGCCGCGCTGCCCCAAAAACTCAGTGTGTCGTCATGTTTGCTGTGCACAACTCGATGCTATCTCCAGTGTATCTGAGTCCTTTCAGAGGTCCAATACAATCATGATGAGGACGCGTCTGTGGAACCGTTGCTTTCCTCTCATTACTTCCAGATATAGAAAACGACAGAACTGACAGTTGTGTTTCCTTGGTGGCTTTGCTAAAAAAAAAAAAAGAGAGAGAGAGAGAGAACGTCCGTGACATCGGGACTCGCTCCACTACTCTCGAAATGCACAAAAGACAAAAATCATGGCGGTGTATCTTTCCATGTTCTAGCGGAAGATTCACTCTCGTTTTGCACATTTCGAGAGTACTGGAGCAAGGCCCATCCTCATGGGGCGTGGCTCCGTTTTTGGACAACGGATACTCCTGACAATGGGCCTCGTGATTCCAGGCATCATTGCCATCAGAAAAATCCTACCTTCTTCCCTTGAATACAACGTACAGTCATTATAGCTGTATCTAGACGGAAAGATGCCTCAGATACAGCTATAATGACCGAATGTTGTATTCGGGGGAAGAAGGTAGTGTCAGTAGGAGATACGAGATGAACCCCGGGCTGTTCTTTTGTTTTTTTTTTGCTTTTGTTTTTCTAGACATAGTTGTCTTTTGCCGTTCTTCTGACACTCCCAATCATGACTGTATGCGACCTGATAGTAGAGTAGGATACATTTGGGCCAACAATGGCCTCCATACAGGGCGGGAACTTGGTTGGAGGGCGGGAACTCGGATCAAAGTTTACGACGGCAGCTGCCCTGCACTACACACACACACACACACACACACACACACACACACACACACACACACACAACAAAAGAAAAAAAAAAGAAGGCCCGCGCACCAGTGGCGCACCAGCGAAGTTGCGCCCTGCACAGTGCGCTGCACCTGTACGCTTTTTGTGCGCGGTGTGCGCACGTGCGCTCACATCTCAGAGCCGCGCACGGCGCAAGGCGCACCGCATGGCGCACCGCATGGCGCACCGCACTGGTGCGCCGCAAGTATGGTGTGAACCAATTTGCTATCTCGATGGTTATGTGAGTCTTCTCTGAGCTTTCGGTGTGCTGCAAGTAACAAATTGGAGTCGAATGCGAGTTGGTTCCTTGCACTGTGGAACCCTATACTCAACTGACACAACTTGACACAAGTTGACAGCCAATAGCCATGGGTGTGGTCCCAGTCCCACAGGTCCCAATTAGACTCTGGTTCTAATTTGAGTTAGACTGATAGACCATAGTAAAACGTTCATCTATTCAGCCAAAACAAGTGTTCGTCGCCAGACTGTGTGAGACGGGTGTCGTTCTATGACACAGCGGAGCTTGCTTATGCTGTGCCATGGTCAGAAGTTGCCGCACCATTGTTGCAACTCGCTAAGCCCTAAGCGGCGTAAGCGCCTTATCTATCTATCGATAGAGGTATGCTTGGATGGAGGCTCGCTGGTTGACGAGCCCGATAAAGAAGCAACCTCTTTGGCTGGCAGCTATGCCCACCTCTGTTAGGCCTAGGCTCATCTACGTGCTTACCCGCCTCTATAGCAAACAACATTCTTCTTATTACATATATGTTGCACTATCAGCTGGCATTTAACCCCGGTTAAGTGCCAAGAAGCCCTATACTGGGTAGTTTACACAGCTTGACAGCCAACACACACGGGCTTCGTCACTCAACCCTGGTTAGGTTCTAGTTTGCTGTCAGCTGGCACTTAAACCACCAGCACATTTCCCAGCTACAGCATGCGCCGCGTCCTTTGGGGTTTGGCCTACCGGATCTCTTCGGCTGCCACTGCAACCCAAAATGAAAAAAAAAAAAAAAGCCCCGGCCCCTGGGCCAATTCATTTTTCCCGGCGCACGCTGCACTCCACAAATGTGCCTCGGGAAAATGAGGCTCAGAAATACTGGTGGTCTAACCCTGCCCCCAGTTTGCTGTTAGCTGGCACTTAAGCTGGGGTAAGCGATCAGTAACCCTATATACTCGCTACCGCCTTCACCCGAATAGAACGCCCGGTCTTATCGCTGTATCTACACAGAATGTTGCCTCAAGTACAGCTATAATGACCGGGCGTTCTATTCGGGTGAAGACGGTAGTTGGCACTAGTTGGCAGCCAACACCCAATGGGTCGGTCACTTAGCAGCCCTGGTTCTAGTTTGTTGGCACTGAACCCTGGTTAGGTCACTAATGGTTAAGAGGTGATGTCATTTTCGGCAATTTTTTCACCGAAACAGTGCGAAACCGCATTTTTTTTCCGACGACATTGCTTGTGGTGATGCGGCAAAAAAAACCGAATTTTGGGCCTTCCATTAACCATCTCTCGGTTAGATGCCAGCTGGCAGCAATAACAGAGGAGTTGAACTTGATAACCAGTGATTATTAATTAATCAACAGAGCAATGAGCATCATTTATAATTTTATAGCACAACGACCAACAACAACTGACCACCATGGAGGTTCATGACAATCACACGTCCTTATCATGAATAGACAGAAAGGGAAATATGTAACGTATGGACAGAAAACGAAATCTCACGCGCACGGACAGAAAAGGAAATCTCCATACTTGCGGCGCATCGTGCGCACGTGCAGTGCATAGCGCACGCACATGCATGCGCGCGCACGTGATGTGGCGCATCACTTTGAAAAAAAGAAAAAAAAAATCCGAAAGGACAGGGTAGGGTGGCCAAACGTGCCCTGCGCGTCTGAAAATCAAACTGAAGGAGGGAGAAAAAGTTGGGGCCACATCATACCCCAAACTGTGTATGCATGTGTGTGCATGTGGGTGTGCCTGTCCTAATTGTGTCCAGTCTCTTTTCCGAAGGGTCTCTACAGCGAATCAGCAAGGACCAATCGCAAAGCAGAGGTAGGCGTTAGGCTTCCATTTCTGCATGGGTGGGCCAAAAATATATAGTCTGGATTCGAATTCAGGTCTGTGTATCAGCGGTTATGGGTCACTAACTCAGCTAGGCCCTCTTGCTCTCTGCACGTGATTCGTTTTCCTTTTCTTAGGAATACGTGCAGTGGCCCTAAGGGCCTCTACTCACCACATGCACAACAGACAACATATGACGGCGTATTGTTCCATGTTCTAGAGAGAAAGGGGTCCTCCTCTCTCTCTCTCTCTCTCTCTCTCTCTCTCTCTCTCTCTTCTTATACACATCTAGATGTGTATAAGAGACAGCTCTCTCTCTCTCTCTCCCCCTCTGCCTCTTCTCTCTCTCTCTCTCTCTCTCTCTCTCTC